CCCCGCCCCGTCCTCGAATGACCTGAGTGAGAAGCCTTGCAGTGAAGAGAGGAGACGGGGAAGAGAACGTAGGGAGAAAGTGCTACTAGTCTCATTAAAATACGCCTCACTGAACTCAGTCGAAAAACAAGTCTTTGATGATCAGATCTCCTCCCTGGCTTTGTTTTTCATTTCCCTTTGATTCAAAGCTCTTAACATTTAAGAAAGGGTCCCATGTATGCGTCATGTATCTCAATACGATAAAATAATTCGCCCAAAACCAGATATCAAAGAGATTAGAAACATTAAATGTAATCACAATGGAACTATTTCAATGAAACAACAACGCAATAACTTCCCCTGTGTAAACAAACAAGTGTTATCAGCTTGTGTCTGACATTTACAAACAGACAATGTACAGGAAGTGGAAACATTTGATATTCAAATCTCCCCGTCAGCTTTACGTATCATTCATGCGACAAAGATCAAGGATCAAGAGTGCAGCTTGATTGATATGATAGCTCTCGCTAAGCCCTTCCACAATGTTTAAGTTCAGGGAGTTTGGAAAAAGTTTTACTTTATTGTAGCATTTTAACATTTTAACTAACGTGTGGCGAAAGTCAGTCTACTTGAGCTGACAGTGTGCATCCTTCTAACATCTGAGCCAAGAGGAAATGTAGAATATTTTCAGCTTTTAGTGTTTCTTAAAATATGACAGAAAACTGAATTGATTCAAAACTTATCAGATGAATTAAGGTATTTTGAAATAGCTGGAAAAGGAAACAAGATATTTTGTATTCTCTCTTTTTGAGCCACTAGCAGACAAAAAAAAACACCAAAAGCTAACTGGATACGCGCACTAACAGATCGACAGAAGTTGCTTTGTTTTGCTTTCTTTGCCTTTTATAAGACTTGCTGATCTGACCTATGCAGTGAAGATGTTCATCATGGCGACTTACCCCGTCCACACAGCGGCGTGCGTTGACGCTTGCCGGCGGGCGTGTCTGACACTCGACCAACAACCAATCACATGAATCTCCCGCCCCTGACACACAAGCAGCGGTTTGATTGGCTAGAGCTTGTACTGGCATATGATTCGATTGGCTGACGCTTCTGCCGAGGCTTCAAAAGTTGAACATTGCTCAACTTTTGCAGCGTCGCTTCCCACAATGCAGTTCGGCGAAAAGTGACGTCACCCCATTCAAAGTGAATGGTGAAGCGTCAACGCGCGCCGCTGTGTGGACGGGCCGTTAGAGGAGCAGGGCTACACTTGAATCAAAGACAAATGGAAAAGCATCTGCCTAACTATAAAAAAAAAAATCTTTGTTCACCTTTCTGGGGTTCAGAAACACATCTGGCGAAACAGTAACGGAGGAGATCAGAGGAGGCTCTTTGGAGATGAATCAGTGTTTCCAGATCGGAGGAAAGTAGCCGAAACGCAGCTTCATGATATTAATAATTAGCATTTGAAATATGGTTGCGTGCCAGGTTAGAATAAAACCCTCTGTATGCAATTTAGTGATTTGTAAAGACCTACAATAGTCCTGTGATCGTGGAATAGGAGCACATTTGCCAACAAAATATTTTGATTACTAGTAATTGTAATAAAAACTCTTAAAATATGACTGGTTGTTCATGCAGAGAAACACTTGGATCGCACCCTCGGACTTTAGCTTTTATGATCAGGAAGAAAAAGATATTTTCATACAGCCAGAAGCGTTTTGATGATGTTTCCTGTTAGCATGTTGCTTATAGGTAGAGAAATCATTTGGTAAACTGAGAACAATATCAGTGAGTGATACAGCGATGAAGTCGTGGAGGTGGATCCTGACTGGACGAATAAAAACAGGCTTTTTTTGTGATTATTTTTGTCATCCAGAAAAATGAAATGTATATACCAGCTTATGCCAATACATAATATTTGCACTTTGAATAACTTTCTGTACAGTATGATGTGTGGATCTGCTTAACTTGATGTGGTGGGTAGAGAGAGAAACTAGTAGCCATCCAAGTTTAACAACTGGAATTCTTAATCATCCCAAATGGATAATTTGCCTTTTGCACTTTTTGTTTTTCACAAATGATAATATTGTTATTGTGTGTCTTGTTGCGTTGTGTCTACTCTAGCCAACTTTTAAAATGCTTTCCTTTCCTCTCTTTCGAACTCTAAAGCCTCTTTCAGCGATGTCAAGGACTCAAAGCTCCGCTGCATGATTTATCCAGAGAACGAGTAAGGGTTAATATTAGAATGAACCTTAACTACATTTCTTTGTTTGTAAATAAATAAAGAAAAAATGACACGGGAGCCAAACTATTTTTTGTCCGAGGTAATCCTTGTAACGTCGTCTGAAACAGGTGTTATGCATTTATTGTAACTGGAATTTAATGACCAATGATTTCTTGCAAAAAATGCCAATAAAGTTCAAATGCCTGCCGGTTAAAATGTTATGTTTAATTGTCTTTTTATTGCACTTAAAACCTGAGTTTTGTTAAGGCATGTCATCAAGTTGATGGTGTATTATCACCCCTGTCCTTCAATAACCAGATCAATAATCAAACAATCCAACCAGGTACATCACATTCATTAAAGCTGTGTTACTAGGAGCAAAGAGAAAGTTAAGATATTATCAAATAAACAATGTTTCCAGTAGCAAGCACTGCACTGGGTTTACTTGTGGATCTATCACTGCTAGTTGTATTCATTAGGTCCACTAGATGGAGCCAGATACCTGTTGTCAGCTTCTACTGTAGTAGTTTACAACTATTTGGGTCATGACAAAGCACCTCCAAACATCAACAAATGTCTGGGATGCTATAAACGTCATTGTTGTATTTCATTTATGACGCTTTCCGGGCATGCATGGGTCATCATCCACACAAAACATCCTTCTTTTTCAGCTAAAATAACGCTGTATTTGTTCATTTGTCTTCAAGAAATAAAAGTACTCTATAATCAGAGCTTATGTTCAGCGAAAAGAGGGCAAATTGATCAGATAGTTTGCGCAAATAGTAATGAAGCTGCTCCATAAATATGTATGGAGGAAGAGAACGACTAAGGAGGAAGACTGGAGGGAAACCACTGAAACATCTGGAGTTTCCTGTGAGTTAGTCAGAGGCTAAATGTCAACACAAACAAACAGCTGGACTACATATTCTATAAATATGTTTCAAACGCCACAATAGGAGTAATGATCTTCTCAGGAAGTGTAAATCAGACTGAATGAGTGTCCAAGGGTAAAGAAGCTCAAACATGTTGTATGCTTTCAACACCAAACACAGCAGCTGCTAAATATATAAAAAATGTCCTACCTCAGAGCTTCAGAAGAGAGAAGATGATCCTTCAGCTGCTCTGGATTCTTCCCAGATGTCCTCCATTGAAGCTGCATTTCTACAAGTGTGTGACAAACAAAAGCATCGGTCTTAAAATCCAACACAACTGCACTAATCGACATTGGAAAGAGGAAAGGTGCATAATGTTAATGAATTTAAAAAACAAACCGTGAAGAATCTTCCATCGTTCCCACAGTGTGGCAGACGTCCATTCACTGAAACACAAAATAAATAATATCATTAACATTTTAAGTTGAATTTATTTATATTAGTTGAAAATTAAACCATGTTGCAAACATTCAAGCTAGCCGTGTGTAGTGTAGTCTGTATGACGTGGAACAATAGGATATTCACACTGAATAATTCACCTTTTTTCCCCAGTTTCATTCATATCTATTTAAAAAATGTAAGCTGATATGAAAGTATGTTTTAAGGAAACACTAAATTAACTAGTTTTGGGATCTGTGGCCAGTTGTATCACATTAAAGCACTTGTTTAGAAACATATACTGACGACTGAGTCGTTACTGAATCAGAGAAGTCAGACACAGTTTCACAGATGCCAATGTGAAGCAATGACAGAAAATAGGCAACATTTGCTGTAAATGACAGGTGCACAGTAAAGGACAACTGCTGCTGAATATGTTACACAAAATAATGCAATAAGCTTAACAAACCATATATCCACCACAGTCTAACTTATGAAGTCTTTAAAGTACTTAAAGGACATTTAACTGCAGGTAGCTTGGTTGTGTATGTCAACAGGTGGATTATCTCAGACAATAACAGAGGGAAAAGTCTTAAAAACTCGATATAAAAACACAATTCCTCCTTACATAATCACTACTTTCAACCCCTGCATTATTTAGGTTTATTAGACAGCTTTAAACGTTTTTTATTTCGCCTCAAACAAATTAGCAACTGTACAGAAAGTACGAGTTAGCAACAAACGCAGAGACTCGTGTTTGTTTGTGTGTTTGTTGAGGATTTAACTGACCTCATAACTCACAGGAAAGTTCACTTCTTTCTGTCGTTTTCACCATGTTTCATCTTGTCGTCCTCCATGCGTCGTTATGGAGATTCATAACCGCCTTCTGTGCGAGGTATCCGCGCGAGCTGTTTGCTCGCCGCTGCCGCCTCCCTCCTCGCGACAGTTCGCCGACCCGAGCGAAGTTGCGTGCGTCCTAGCGAAATGGGAATCACAGGATGAGTTTCTTCGAGTTTCTTTTATTATTATTTTAGTTGTTACTTTTCTTAATAACCCAAATTCACTTATCAGTATGTCTTTTTTCGAAACTGTACCTTGTGCATTTAAATCTAGGCTATTCCAAATTGTAATTCACTTGCTAACTTATGTCAATAGTTAACATTGTTTAATTGAAGGCTGGCCTATCAAAGTACACTCACTTCAATTGTATATTTAATAGAGATACTCTAGGTATATATCTTTCACTGTTAATATGTACACACGTAGTATTCTGTTTATTTATTACCGTTTGTTTAAATAAATATACTTTATAGTAGTTTTAAGGTAAAATCCTGATTCTTTGACACTGGAGACAGAGATTTGAGGCGAAAGAAAAGAGTAAAATACTTTATTGTATCAGTTAGATCAACAGAAGGCACACGTACAGTATCTGAGCGTAGACGTTACACCGGTGTCAGTATCGTTCTCCAGCTTCTCCTCCACTTTGTGATCATATAGTAAAATATACCATTACATTATCTGCAGGGAGGAAGTCCTTTATCTCTCAGAGGCTGGAATTAATACAATACATTAGCAGGCTTCACTTTTCAGCTCATAGTACAACGTCAAGCAAGTGCAGCCTTTTGCAAAAATATATTCATATATAATTATACACCTTTTCTACACATTGAAGCAAATTAACTATACAAAATGCAGAAAACTAGCTTGGTGCGATAACAGATGAGCCGGTTGTAGGAAAGTCTATGCTTATTAGTAGCATCATAGTGACAGTATTACAGAAAAATAGTAGCAGTACCTTTGTCATAAAACTGTTTAGGAAAAAGTTCATATAATGCCAAAAATATTAGCTTTGAAAACAAGAAAAAGTACACAAAAGACATTTCTCAATATACATGTTTATAGGAGGACTATAACATCTGGAAAATACAAGTGTGTCCCTTTCAAGCATTATAAGGTTTACCCAAAAACACAACAATTAGAAGTAAATTAGTTAAAGGAGTGTTCATGGTTTTGAGATACTTTTTGGTTGAAATACAGATCCCAGAGTTCACGTACGCGAGGACTACGGCGACGGCCATGCTACAAAAAGTACAACCAGGCAGGCTGAGGGGAACAGCTGTGAGTCACACATTTAGGAACAAAAACTGTCTTTTGATGAGTAAAATATTAAAAAGCTGTTATATTCTGAGAACCGGTCGCATGTTTATGGGGAAAAGGACTGTTTTTTTTATTTTAGTATAATTTCTAATTAAGTTATGACCTTATCTCAAAATTACATTATGACCAATTGTACATTTTCTCCTCAAAAAATATAGACCATGACATACAGCCTTTTCTCCCAAAATGACAACCACATCTTGAAGTAATGAGTCTTATTTTCTTAATATAACTTTAAATCTAAATGTTAAAGCTTTTTAAAAGAAAACAATTAAGACCTAAATCAGAATTAAACTGTATTGGACAAAAAAAGGGACCATCTCCAATTTTGCAACCAGTACTTTTGGCTAAAAGACAGTTATAAAAAAAAAGAAGTCTCTGATGAATTCCTCTTTCCCTGGGACGTACAGACATGTATACATGTTGAAAACACTGCTCAGTAATTCAGCTTCCTCGTGTCAAATATCTCATGTTTCGTCCAACCTGTGGAGTTTAATAAGGGTAGTTTTCGGGGAAAGCCCCCCCCTCAGCCAGGTAGGGACCCTCCTCCTCATAGCTGGGCGGGGGGGGGCCTTCTTCCTCGCCGGGGGGCAAGATGGCGTCCGGGTCGGCCTTCAGACTCGGCCTCTGGTTGTCTGGGAATGCCATGGAGAACAGGGCGTCGGGGTTGCATACGAACTTGTAGACGTACCTCTCCCCGGCAACCTAGGACGAGCCAATCAGAGGAGAGAGAAATTAATGATGCACTAAAATGCCCGAATAATTATTTTGTGATTCTGTTTTACTCTAATGTTAGACATTTAAGTTCTTATTATTATGGACTACAGTATTCAGACTACACAGAAAGGGTAATTGTATCAGTAGACTGCAGATACATGTCATAGTATATGTACTGTATGTCCTTAATGTAATTAATATTTGTTTGTTTTTGTGTAAGCAGAGTTAAGTGTAAACTGTATACTGATGTGTATGGCCAAAGACATATGTGACTTAATACCAATAAAATACCTGAAATTGGAATAAAGTTGATTTAATTAAGTGGTTGTTTTGTAGGGTTAATGGGCTATCTTCATGATGAGTGCACAAGAAAATCCTTTAAAGTTGAGATGAAATGGCACTAATTTGTGAAAACAGTGAAGTGAAACCTGCCTTTACCTTCTGCATGATGCCCTTCTCGTAGTAGTACCTCAGCGAGCGACTCAGCTTGTCGTAGTTCATCGCCGGACGATTCTTCTGCAGACCCCAGAGCCGAGCCACCTGTACACAGAAACACATACAAAATAAAATATAATGCATAAGCCAAACAATAGCTTTCACCTCTGATACCGAACTGTCCGTAAAGCTTGCAGCTAATCAGAATGAATCCTATATCTCTCAGCAATTTAATTAAACTATTCGTTTCTTATAGGCAATAGGCCATTTATTTTGGTCCCACCGAGTGAAGATTCCTCCAAAGGTTATGGAATATTCACGCCTTTTAGAAAGTCCATGTGTGTGATCAGAGATGGCAGAAGTACACACATCCTTTACTCAAGTAGAAGTACAGATACTCGTGTTTAAAAATACTCGTGTTTAAAAGTAGAAGTACTGACTAAACTTCTTTCCTCAAGTCAAAGTAAAGAACTTTGAAATGTACTTCAGTAAAAAGTACCCATAACTAGCAGCTGTTTTAAAGAGTACCTGACCTCCCTTTATATTAATAGAACAATAATGTCATTGTTAGCTAATGAATGTTTCCATGCTGAACAACGGCAACATGACAACGTTTCCATTGGTCCCTCTTCTTTAGAGAAGACCAGGAAATGATGGATACACGGATCGTGTTCAAATCAATAGGCAGGCAATGACTCTAAATAATAATGATCACGCCACCAAACACACATTCAGACTAAAGGAACCAGCCTGTTTGGAAAATGAGAGAAGTAGAAAGTACAGGTATTTGAGTTCAACATGTAAGAAGTAGAAAGTACAGGTATTTGAGTTCAACATGTAAGAAGTAGAAAGTACAGGTATTTGGGTTCAAAATGTAAGAAGTCAAAGTAAAAAGTCGTCAGAAATATAAGTAGTGGAGTAAAGTACTGATACCAGAAAAATGTACTTAAGTACAGTAACAAAGTA